TCAGGAAGCCTTTGCAGGTGTTAAAAAAAATTATCTGATTAGAGTGGGACACTTTGAGCCGAGAATATTCCACCTTTTCACAATATTCTCATTTTCTGAGATTGTGGATTTGGGGTTTTCATGAGCTGTAAGCCATAATCATCACAATGATGACAAATCAAAAAAAAAACTATAAAAAAAAAAAAAAAAAAATGAGTCTCCTATATTAAAAAACCTTTTAAGTTGCTGCACTGAAATAAATGAACTTTTGCACCATATTCTAATTTTTCGAGTTTCACCTGTACATAAAAAAAAAAAAATATATACATACAAAAAAAAAAAAAAATCAACTAAACAAATAAAGATATTAATTAAAAAAAATAAATAAAGACAAAAATAAAATGGAAAAAAAAAATAAATAAATAATAAAAATCTGTATACAAGAGTCCTTTGAGCTTTATGCCTAGACTTGACTTGCCCGCCAACTGAACCGTACTATGTAAATCATCAAGTCATCTATTGCAGAATTAACTCCAAGAAGAATGTTCGCTGTTTGTATCCCAGCTTTAGGGGAATATTCCAGATGACTGAAATCCAATATACTTGTACCATAAAATGTATGTGATCTCTCCCTTATAAAGTGAATATAATATATATTATGTAATATAATCCCAAAAATCTCATATGATCTTTAACATGGCAATGCGATTTTAAAAGTACTTTTCAATATTGTACGGGCACTTCCTGTTATAGGGTGACAACGCTCTGACCCCGTCTCCAAATTGTGAACATGCGTTTGTCACCATTTCACACAGGCTTCCCGTGAAGACTACAAATGGCCATTTAAACACACATTTAGGCTCCTGCCATGTGATTTGAAGCTCTGCGCACAGTGATCCAGAAGCAGTTAGCCAGTTGCAAGATTAGGGGGGGGGGGGCGTACCCCTGCTCCTGTAATTGGCTCAGACTCTCTTCACACCTTTATGAAAAAAAAATCCTGCTATAGGGGAAATGCTCATATATCGCAGGACGTCGGGGGATCAGCGCATCATTGGAATTAATGTGATTGTAGCAAAGAAAGAAACGTATGTTTTTTGAAAGATTTTTCAAAGGCAATCTAAATTTCTACAGAACACAAGCGGGTAAGTATCTGCAATAATATCTGATCAACTATTACAGTGTTTATAGACAATCCAGAATTATTTGTCATTTTTTTGTCATCTTAACTAAAATTCACAGTCGTTTTTTGTGACGGGAGTCACTTTGGGTGGGGGGCCCATGGAACCCAGCTCACTTTGGAGAGGTGGGGAGACCCCTGTCTCAGCTCCCCATATCCCTCTTATGTGTAAGTCACCCTGTGCTTGTTAGGGGTACAGGGTGGAATGTCCTAATATTGGGGTGGTGGGGTTGTTGATTGTTTGGTGTTATGTGGTTGCATTCCATTGTTCTATTGTGTGTCTTACTTGGGAGCAAACTATTATGGGATGTAGGTGTTGGCTTGGTGGGGGGGTGTCTCCAGCAGCCCTCCCTCCTGATGGGACTGTCTGCTGGTGTGTCTCTTGGTACTAAATGTAGATTAATAGATAAATATAAATGGCGCCTCAGAAAAGATCTTAATCTTAATAAACAAAAATATATAATCTACCAGCTGCAAAATCCGCCCTATAGTCATAAGGTGTACAAACGAAAAAAAAAAAAACAAACAATTTGCGCTAGTAATAATAAATAATAAAAAATATATATACTTTAAATAAGTTTTAAATAAATGTATGTGAACAAATGTCCCAAAAAATATATATGTGAGTCCAATAAAGCAGATGAAAAAATTCACCGAAAAAAAGGAAAAACGTGACAATCCACCACCAAATATACTAAATAAACTCACCAGAGCTAAATGCTGATAACATTATAAATCAGCATAAAGCGCTTTTTGCTCTGGGAGCGATGGTCAGCAGGTTGATGAAACCATACTTGGCTATAAACTCGATCTCCAGGGAGTAATACTCTGCAGAAACCAATAATTGGCTAGTAACTCGATATCCAGGGAGCAATAATCAGCAATCAGATGTACCAATAGGAGAATCCACTTTAATATGCACAACAATCGGTGTCCTGGCCGACACCAGCTTCAACAGCATGTCAGATACAATAACCTATCCAAAACCGAGCTCCTGGTCTTCCCCCCACCCCGTGCCCCCCATCCTCTCCATCACTGCTAACAACCATCTCTCCCACCCCACACGCCAAAGTCCTGGTTGTCACCCTGGACTCCCACTTCTCCTTCCTACCCCACATCCAACTGCTGTCTAGATCATGCAGGCTCCACCTCCGCAACATCTCCAAGATACGCACATTCCTCACCCCAGACACCCCCAAACAACTCATACACTCCCTCATCATCTCACGCCTGGACTACTGCAACTCCCTCCTCACTGGCCTACCCAAACAAACGCTATCCCCACTCCAGTCTATCCTGAACTCAGCGGCCAGACTCATCCACCTCACCAACCGCTCCACATCTGCCTCCCCCCTCTGCCAATCCCTTCATTGGCTCCCGATTGCCCAACGCATCAAATTCAAACTGCTAACTCTGACCTACAAGGCCATTCACAATGCCGCCCCGAACTACATAACTGACCTTATACCCAAATACTACCCTACCCGTGCCCTCCGCTCCTCACAGGACCTCCTGCTCTCTAGCTCCCTGGTCTCTTCCTCCCACGCCCGATTGCAGGACTTCTCCAGGACTTCCCCCATCCTCTGGAACTCCCTTCCCCAATCCATCAGACTGTCGCCTACCCTCCTCACCTTCAGGCGCACCCTGAAAACCCTCCTCTCCAGGGAAGCCTACCCCAACCTCACCTAACACCCGACCTCACCTAACAACTAACCTCCTCCACTCCACCCACCACTCCATCCCCCACAGCCATCTCCTCCTGTACCACCTTCCCCTCCCTCCTAGATTGTGAGCTCGAAAGAGCAGGGCCCTTGAACCCCTCGTGTAGTGTATTGTTACTGTCTTGTCTCATGTTCCGTCCCCCTGGCTATTGTACAGCGCTGAGCATACCCATTGGCTCTATATAAATACTGTATAATAATAATAAAAACGAACCCAGGAGCTTAGCACATGCGCGGGTAGACCACTGGGAAATGTAATGACCAGACCAGGGCGGGGCCTGATTGATGTGACGTCATTACGTTTCCCAGTGGTCTACGGCGCATGTGCTAAGCTCCTGGGTTCGTTTTTATTGTATCTGACATGCTTTTGAAGCTGGTGTCGGCTAGGACATCGATTGTTGTAAGTGCGATGTGTGCATATTAAACAAATTATTTTTAAATAGGTACTGCACTATGAGCTTTTGTTCTTTCCCCGAGTGCCTGGTCTAATGCCCGTTGGAGATGGTGGTGTCTATAAGAAGTGGATTCTCCTATTGCTACATCTGATTGCTGATTATTGCTCCCTAAATGTAGATTGCCCCGCCCTGTATCATTAGGCAGGGAGGGGGGTTGCTCCCTGAATGTATATATCTTGTATCTGTGTTAAAATAAAGTAATCTATTTCCTGGTTTACTTCAAGACTGGTGTCGTCTAGTCTTGTATGGTCAGCGGTGGTGTCCGTGGTCGGTGTTCGGACGGGGAAGCGGTATTATAACGAAAGTACCCAAGCGCGGTCTGGGTCCGGTTCCGTTACAGTTTTCATTTAAATCTTTAGGTGGACCAGATATATATATATGTGTAAGTGCGGTATATCACTCCCAGGTATCTATTACCTCTCAGGGAGATCACAGCAATACCGTAAAAAAGGGGAGGTGTGAAAAAGAATTCACAAGAAAAAAAGAAAAAACGTGACAATCCACCACCAAATATACTAAATAAACTCACCAGAGCTAAATGCTGATAACATTATATTATTATTATCATTATTATACAGTATTTATAAAGCACCAATAGTTCGATCAGCGTTGTACACCATTATAAATCAGCATAACGCGATTTTTGCTCTGGGAGCGATGGTCAGCAGGTTGATGAAACAATACTTGGCTATAAACTCGATCTCCAGGGAGTAATACTCTGCAGAAACCAATAATTGGCTTGAAACTCGATATCCAGGGAGCAATAATCAGCAATCAGATGTAGCAATAGGAGAATCCACTTTAATATGCACACTTACAACAATCGGTGTCCTGGCTGACACCAGCTTCAACAGCATGTCAGATACAATAAAAACGAACCCAGGAGCTTAGCACATGCGCGGGTAGACCACTGGGAAACGTAATGACCAGACCAGGGCGGGGCCTGATTGATGTGACATCATTACGTTTCCCAGTGGTCTACCGGCGCATGTGCTAAGCTCCTGGGTTAGTTTTTATTGTATCTGACATGCTTTTGAAGTTGGTGTCACCTAGGACACCGATTGTTGTAAGTGCGATGTGTGCATATTAAACGAATTATTTTTAAATAGGTACTGCACTATGAGCTTTTGTTCTTTCCCCGAGTGCCCGTTGGAGATGGTGGTGTCTATGAGAAGTGGATTCTCCTATTGCTACATCTGATTGCTGATTATTGCTCCCTAAATGTAGATTGCCCCGCCCTGTATCAATAGGCAGGGAGGGGGGTTGCTCCCTGAATGTATATATCTTGTATCTGTGTTAAAATAAAGTTATCTATTTCCTGGTTTACTTCAAGATTGGTGTCGTCTAGTCTTGTATGGTCAGCGGTGGTGTCCGTGGTCGGTGTTCGGACGGGGAAGCGGTATTATAACGAAAGTACCCAAGCGCGGTCTGGGTCCGGTTCCGTTACAGTTTTCATTTAAATCTTTAGGTGGACCAGATATATATATATATGTGTGTAAGTGCGGTATATCACTCCCAGGTATCTATTACCTCTCAGGGAGATCACAGCAATACCGTAAAAAAGGGGAGGTGTGAAAAAGAATTCACAAGAAAAAAGCGGTTACATTATGGACAGAAAGCAATACCCAAGGAGATATAAAATAAATGATGCTTTATTGCAAATTTTGAAAACAGATATAGTGAATGCAGGGTCCGGGGAGAGCAGATATAGTGAATACAGGGTCCTGGGAGAGCGGATATAGTGAATGCAGGGTCCTGGGAGAGCGGATATAGTGAATGCAGGGTCCTGGGAGACCAAATATAGTGAATGCAGGGTCCTGGGAGAGCGGCTATAGTGAATGCAGGGTCCTGGGAGAGCGGATATAGTGAATGCAGGGTCCTGGGAGAGCGGATATAGTGAATGCAGGGTCCTGGGAGAGCGGATATAGTGAATGCAGGGTCCTGGGAGACTGGATATAGTGAATGCAGGGTCAACACAAAATAACTTCTTGTATTGGCCATGTAGGGTAAAGCAATAGGGTCACTTTCAAGAGGAACTAAGCTCTGTGCCAAAAAAATGTCAGGCAGAAGGCAAAGGACTAGTCACCAGTATTGTCTGTGGTCTCCTTGCAGCTGAATATTTCCTCTTTAATTACTTACCATGCTATTTTCTGTGTGGAGGAGGCCATCTTGGTAGAGGCAGGGGTATTCTTCCAACAAAGCAGAACAGTAGTGGCATCACTAAATCTCATTTCATATATGGCGAGACTCTCAGTCGGAGGCAGCAGAACTTTAGATCTCACATTTATTTATTTCAGGTACTTATATATTGCTGTCAATTTACGCAACGCTTTACATATATATTGTACATTCACATCAGTCCCTAACCCTCAAGGGGCGTACAATCTAAGGTCCCTAACTCACATTCATACATACTAGGGACAATTTAGACAGGATCCAATTCACCTACCAGCATGTCTTTGGAGTGTGGGAGGAAACTGGAGTACCTGGAGGAAACCCACGCAGGCACAGGGAGAACATGCAAACTCCAGGCAGGTGGTGCTGTGGTTGGGATTCGAACCAATGACCATAGTACTGCCAGGCGGAAGTGCTAACAATTTAGATATACACTCACCAGCCACTTTATTAGGTCCACCTGTTCAATCACTTGGTAACACAAATTGCTAATCACATGGCAGCAACTCAATGCATTTAGGCATCTAGATGTTGTGAAGACGACTTGCTGAAGTTCAAATTGAGCATCAGAATGGGGAAGAAAGGGGATTTAGGTGACTTTGCACGTGGCATGGTTGTTGGTGCCAGACGGGCTGGTCTGAGTATTTCAAAAACTGCTGATCTACGTGGATTTTCCATAACATCCATCTCTAGGATTTACAGAGAACGGTCTGAGAAAATATCCAGCGAGTGGCAGTTGTGTGGAGGAAGATGCCTTGTTGATGTCAGAGGTCAGAGGAGAATGGGCAGACTGGTTGCTGTGACATTCAGATGGTAGAGTCAGAATTTGGCGTAAATAACATGAAAGCATGGATCCATCCTGCCTTGTATCAACGGTTCAGGCTGGTGGTGGTGGTGTCACAAGGCAGGATGGATCCTCCACCACCAGCCTAAACCATTGATACAAGGCAGGATGGATCCAACAGCACACATATCAGCAGTTCAGGCTGGTGGTGGGGGTGTCACAAGGCAGGATGGATCCACCACACCATGACATCCCCCACCACCAGCCTGAACCATTGATGCAAGGCAGGATGGATCCACCACACCATATCAATGGTTCAGGCTGGTGGTGGGTGTGTCACAAGGCAGGATGGATCCACCACAACATGACACTCCTACCACCAGCCTGAACCGTTGATATGGTGTGGTGGATCCATCCTGCCTTGTATCAGTGGTTCAGGCTGGTGGTGGGGGTGTCACAAGGCAGGATGGATCCACCACACCATGACACCCCCACCATCAGCCTGAACTGTTGATACAAGGCAGGATGGATTCACCACACCATATCAACGGTTCAGGCTGGTAATGGGGGTGTCACAAGGCAGGACGGATCTACCACACCATGACACCCCCACCACCAGCCTGAACCATTGATGCAAGGCAGGATGGATTCACCACACCATATCAACGGTTCAGGCTGGTGGTGGGGGTGTCACAAGGCAGGATGGATCCACCACACCATGACACCCCCACCACCATTCTGAACCGTTGATAAAAGGCAGGATGGATCCACCATACCATATCAACGGTTCAGGCTGGTGGTGGGGGTGTCACAAGGCAGGATGGATCCACCACACCATGACACCCCCACCACCATTCTGAACCGTTGATAAAAGGCAGGATGGATCCACCACACCATATCAATGGTTCAGGCTGGTGGTGCTGGTGTCATGGTGTGGGGGAGATTTTCTTGGCACTAGCAAGGTGGACCTAATAAAGTGAGTGTATACTGTATGAGGCCACAGAACAGGATTGCCTAAGCACAGAAAGTGAATAACATTTTGTTTAGGAGGATTTCAAGGCAAAATGGTTAATTTTCCAGGGTACTGCTTAGGCACAATTAAAGCAACCCTGTCAGTTCCCTAAAGCTGAATTCCTGTTATGGAAATTTTTTTCGTAGTTACATTGGTCCAGCTTTGACCAATGTAAGTATGTATGTTCCATCCCTGGCAGCCCCATGAAAACTGGAAATCACAGTAGAAGGCACCGCCATGTTGATAGAGGCAATGGTTTTCTTCCATCATCCGAGCCTCTGGCAAATGGAGAACAGTGATCGGCACAGTAGAGACATCACCAAAACTCATTTTTGGTTAGACGATCAGTTGGAGGCAGCAGAGCCTTGGATCTCACACTGCGGATATACAGATAGGAGGCTGTAAGAACAGGGGCGCATACCAGGAATTGCACAGCTAGTTTTTGGTAGGAGTTTAAGTCAAAGGTACATTTTTCAGCGAATTGCTTAGGCAGTAAATATAGTTTCTATGTTTCGGGAAATCTTCACTTTTTGGGTTCAGGTACATTTTACTATTGCCTCCTCCAGTATGGAGAAACATGTGACTAACACTTCGTCCTTCTATGTGACAGCATTGCGCATTCTGGCCCCCAGATCTCTCACACTTGGATGGGTCCTCAGTCTTGTGTAAGTCCCAAGTAGTGTCTTGGAGCCAATAAAATCAGTTTCTGTACATACAGCTGCTTGAAAGAGTATTCATACCCCTTGAAATTTTCCACATTTTGTCCTGTTACAACCAAAAATGTAAATGTAGTTCAATGGAATTTTATGTGATAGACCAACACAAAGTGGCACATAATTGTGAAGTGGAAGGAACATGAGAAATGGTTTTCAAAATTTTTTACAAACAAATATGTGAAAAGTGTGGCGTGCATTTGTATTCAAATGCCGGCACGGGGAGAGAAGCTTGCAGCTTCACAGTCGGGTGCCCACTGCGCATGCGTGAGAAGTGCTGCACTTTGTGAATGGCCCTGTAATCTTCTGGGACCTGTTATGTGTCCCAGAAGATTATGGGGGGAGAAGGAGGGGGGAAGGACAACTCCACGGAAGTGGGAGTGGATACTTGTCAAATTCGGTTACCCATTCTCCCCACCTCTGCTTCCCAAAGGTCCTTAGTCTCTGGTCTTCTGTACTATGTCCGCAGTCTCTGGTCATCTCCTGTACCGTGACCGCAGTCTCTGGTCATCCCCTGTACCGTGTCCGCAGTCTCTGGTCATCTCCTGTACTGTGTCCGCAGTCTCTGGTCATCCCCTGTACTGTGTCCGCAGTCTCCGGTCATCCCCTGTACCGTGTCCGCAGTCTCCGGTCATCTCCTGTACCGTGTCCGCAGTCTCCAGTCATCTCCTGTACCGTGTCCGCAGTCTCCGGTCATCTCCTGTACCGTGTCCGCAGTCTCTGGTCATTCTCCTGTACCGTGTCCGCAGTCTCTGGTCATCTCCTGTACCGTGTCCGCAGTCTCTGGTCATCTCCTGTACCGTGTCCGCAGTCTCTGGTCATCTCCTGTACCGTGTCCGCAGTCTCTGGTCATCTCCTGTACCGTGTCCGCAGTCTCTGGTCATCTCCTGTACCGTGTCTGCAGTCTCTGGTCATCTCCTGTACTGTGTCCGCAGTCTCCGGTCATCTCCTGTACCGTGTCCGCAGTCTCCGGTCATCCCTTGTACCGTGTCCGCAGTCTCCGGTCATCCCCTGTACCGTGTCCGCAGTCTCTGGTTATCTCCTGTACCGTGTCCGCAGTCTCTGGTCATCTCTTGTACCGTGTCCGCAGTCTCTGGTCATCTCTTGTACGTGTCCGCAGTCTCTGGTCATCTCTTGTACCGTGTCCGCAGTCTCTGGCCATCTCCTGTACTGTGTCCGCAGTCCCTAGTCATCTCCTGTACTGTGTCCGCAGTCTCTGGTCATCTCCTGTACTGTGTCCGCAGTCTCTGGTCATCTCCTGTACTGTGTCTGCAGTCTCTGGTCATCCCCTGTACTGTCCGCAGTCTCTGGCCATCTCCTGTACTGTGTCCGCAGTCTCTGGTCATCTCTTGTACTATGTCCGCAGTCTCTGGGCATCTCCTGTACTGTGTCCGCAGTCCCTAGTCATCTGCTGTACTGTGTCCGCAGTCTCTGGTCATCCCTGTACTGTCCGCAGTCTCTGGTCATCCCCTGTACTGTCCGCAGTCTCTGGTCATCTCCTGTACTGTGTCTGCAGTCTCTGGTCATCCCCTGTACTGTCCGCAGTCTCTGGCCATCTCCTGTACCGTGTCCGCAGTCTCCGGTCATCTCCTGTACCGTGTCCGCAGTCTCTGGTCATCTCCTGTACCGTGTCCGCAGTCTCTGGTCATCTCCTGTACCGTGTCTGCAGTCTCTGGTCATCTCCTGTACTGTGTCTGCAGTCTCTGGTCATCTCCTGTACTGTGTCCGCAGTCTCTGGTCATCCCTGTACTGTCCGCAGTCTCTGGTCATCCCTGTACTGTCTGCAGTCTCTGGTCATCCCCTGTACTGTCCGCAGTCTCTGGTCATCTCCTGTACTATGTCCGCAGTCTCTGGTCATCTCCTGTACTATGTCCGCAGTCTCGGGTCATCTCCTGTACTATGTCCGCAGTCTCGGGTCATCTCCTGTACTATGTCTGCAGTCTCAGGTCATCTCTTGTACTGTGTCCGCAGTCTCTGGTCATCTCCTGTACTGTGTCCGCAGTCTCTGGTCATCTCCTGTACTGTGTCCGCAGTCTCTGGTCATCTCCTGTACTGTCTGCAGTCTCTGGTCATCTCCTGTACTGTGTCCGCAGTCTCTGGTCATCTCCCGTACTGTGTCCGCAGTCTCTGGTCATCTCCTGTACTATGTCCGCAGTCTCTGGTCATCTCCTGTACTGTGTCCGCAGTCTCCGGTCATCTCCTGTACCGTGTCTGCAGTCTCTGGTCATCTCCTGTACTATGTCCGCAGTCTCGGGTCATCTCCTGTACTGTGTCCGCAGTCTCTGGTCATCTCCTGTACTATGTCTACAGTTCATTGGTTCAGAATATTTTTTTTCCTGTTTTCCACTTCTAAAATCTAGGTGTGTCTTATGGAGCGAAAAATACGGTATTCCTTAGTGACATAAAATGATACTTGGCTCTGTATTCTCTAAAAGGGGTAGTAGTGGAAGATGGGGGGACCAAAGGAAGGTGCTCAGCGGAGAGTAGGGTTGACTCTGAAGGGGGGGAATACCTACACCTGCCAAAAAAAAAAGCTCTGAATGCAACCCTCGTATATTAGCTGAATATTTTCCCACAAGAGAACCGTACTTCTTCTGCCATCATTTTATCCTTTTATGCCTTTGTGACTCAACACACCATAAAATAAAGACGACACAGACATGTTACATTTGTTTTTCTGTTTTATTGCTTGTTCAGCAGTGGCCGCTACAGAAAATGACCCTTCCCTTCCACAGCAAAGAGATGGATTTGCAATAAACTGAAATGGAAGGGATTGGTACACACGGATCAAAATATTTTTCATACTGTACAGCTCTCCAGACTAAATAAATAACATTTACATATTTATATATATATAAAAAAAAGCAAAAGAAATGAAAGATTACTTCCGTCACCAGCAGACTGGTGTATGTTCACAGCGAGAAGAGTTTAGTAGCTGCGACAAGCAAAAAACGCACTTAGAAATAAAACATCGGACCTTAAAAAGGCAAAAGTCACAGTGTATCCACCGGAACTTAAAGTGTACCTGTCATTTCTTGAACAGATGTAGTCGGAGCGAGGCTTGGGACATGACTACTGCAGGAGGTACAATCTGATCGAATAAAGATAGGATGACATGAGCCCTTTTCTTCAAGTATCTTCATTATATTAAAGAAAAGATATTGAATTTTGGTCACGGAGTAGAGGACTGCTACATCAAACCAGTGGGAACGTCAATGGAAACCTCAATGGGTCCTGTCCAGGGATGGACTGACAACTCATGGGGCCCCCGGGCAAAAGGAAATTATGGGGCCCTATGTCCTCGTCTACACTCAAACCACACCCAAAAAAGCCTATGAAAGGTACCAGGGGCATCTCATGGGGCCCCCCTACTGACCCTAGGCCCTGTTGCTGTCAGTAGCAAGAAGTTATTGTCATTGGGAGAAATAGTGCCCCATCGTTGGTGTCCTTGGGACCACTGTTGGTGTCAGTGGCAGGAATTGTGCCCCAATGTTACTGTCATTGGGAGGAATAATGTCCCATCGTTGGTGTCATTGGGACCAGTAGTGACCCACTGTTGGTGTCAGTGGCAGGAATTGTGCCCCAATGTTACTGTCATTGGGAGAAATAATGTCCCATCGTTGGTGTCTTTGGGACCAATAGTAACCCACTGCTGCTGTCAGTGGCAGGAAGTTATTGTCATTGGGAGGAATAGTGACCCATCGTTGGTGTAATTGGGACCAATAGTAACCCACTGTTGCTGTCAGTGGCAGGAATTGTGCCCCATTCTTACTGTCAGTGGCAGGAAGTTATTGTCATTGGGAGGAATAGTGCCTCATTGCTGGTGTCATTGGGACCAATAGTGACCCACTGTTGCTGTCAGTGGCAGGAACTGTGCCCCATTGTTACTGTCATTGGGAGGAATAATGTCCCATCGCTGGTGTCATTGGGACCAATAGTGACCCACTGTTGGTGTCAGTGGTAGGATGTTATTGTCATTGGGAGGAATAGTGCCCCATCACTGGTGTCATTGGGACCAATAGTGACCCACTGTTGGTGTCAGTTGCAGGAATTGTGCCCCATTGCTATTATCAGTGGAAGGAATAGTGACACAAGGAAAGGATAAAGTCAAGCAAAGGGCGGCATCTAAACCCCCGGACTGCGGTTTGGAGACCGCTGATCTAAGCTTTACCATGTTTATAGGGTCCTGTAAAGGGTTGCCAAATTCTCCAAATTACAATGGGGTTGTATATTTGGCCATTGAAGGCACATTCAGGCTCATTCTTAGAAAGCAGAAAGCGACAGATTCCTTTTGTGACTTTTGCGCACTACTGTCACTTCTACTGTCACTACTACAGTCACTTCTACTGTCACTTCTACTGTCACTTCTACTGTCACTACTACTGTCACTACTACAGTCACTACTACAGTCACTTCTACTGTCACTACTACTGTCACTACTACTGTACCTTCTACTGTCACTACTACTGTCACTTCTACTGTCACTACTACTGTCACTACTACTGTCACTTCTACTGTCACTACTACTGTACCTTCTACTGTACCTTCTACTGTCACTTCTACTGTCACTACTACTACTGTCACTACTACTGTACCTTCTACTGTCACTACTACTGTACCTTCTACTCACTACTACTGTCACTACTACTGTCACTACTACTGTACCTTCTACTTTCACTTCTACTGTCACTACTACTGTCACTTCTACTCACTTCTACTGTCACTACTACTGTCACTTCTCTCCCGCTTTGCTCTAGTGAGTTCATCCGGACAAGATGACAGGGACACTTTAAGGCAACAGCGCCATTGGGCTCATTTCACATATACAAAAGCAAAAACATCCGGGACTGAAAGATTCCAACATATCAAAATAAAACCAGTCACTGCACCGCCAACACAATAAAGTATTCAAACTGTAAAATAGACTTTCGATAAACTATGCATCATAAAGAGATTTCCGTCATCTATTTACAATTCACATTTGTATCAAAAAAAGTACATTCAATATTTTTTTTTTTAAATGTGCTATTACAGAACCATATATACAAGATACTGTACAAAGCGGTCTTCTTCAGTGACTGGCCAGGATCCTAAAGGGTACAACTTCCATGGGCACGGGTCTGTCTGGGAGCTCCTATTTCAGGGCCAGCTTCACAAGGTGAGTGTTTAGTTTGGGGTGGACAACAGCGGACTGAATCAGTGAATTGGCTTCTTATTATTCCCGGAGACAGGGCTACCTGGCAATTGTTTGCAGATCTGTCACCCATTTGTTTCTTTGTCATTCATTCCTGACAGCATGCTGCAGAGAAGGACCTTCGCTCTTTGCGTGGAAGCAGCGGGCTCCCTGCAGAGGTCCAACACGCATTCCCCAACCCCTACCATGCAGGAGATCCCGCATGGCCAGGGATGAAACTAGCAATTTAGACAGGAGCCAAATATTATTATACAGGATTAATATAGCGCCAACAGTTTGCTCAGCACCTTTTAATAACCTACCAGCATGTCTTTGGAGTGTGGGAGGAAACCGGAGTACCCGGAGGAAACCCACACAGGCACAGGGAGAACATGCAAACTCCATGCAGGAGGCGCCATGGTCGGGAATCGAACCCATGACCCAATTACTGCAAGGCAGAAGTGCTAACCACTAAGCCACTGTGCCGCCCCCCTGCTAATTAGAGAGCAGCAAATCCAACTCAACAGGGGGTGTGCTGGACCTCTGTAGAGAGACTGCTGCTTCCAAGCGGTCCTGATTCGCAGGACAGGCTTTTCTATTCAGGCTGTGGCTGTTCCTAAAGAAAACTAACTGAAATACTTTGTACACCTTACATCATGATCAGGGGCGGACTGACAACTCATGGGCCCTCGGGCAATAGGGGATCATGGGGCCCATGGGCAATAGGGGATCATGGGGCCCACGGGCAATAGGGGATCATGGGGCCCCCGGGCAATAGGGGATCATGGGGCTCCTGAGTCCTCGCCCACACTCAAACAAGCCTATGAAAGGTAGCAGGGGCATCTCATGGGGCCCCCAAATGACCCCGGGCCCTCGGGCAATGACCAAGTACCCGGACGGTGAGTCCACCCCTGGTCATGATGCACCTGGAATGTGTCTAGCTGATTTAAAGTGAAGCTTCTATGCTGTTTGCTTTTTGTCCATTCAGCGGTTTTCTACACACGTTTTTGACGCGTTTTTACCACGTTTTGAGTTTTGTTCAGCTTTTCTTTTTTTTTTAGAAGAAGTATTTTTTTTGCTGGGCAGAACAAAAATGCAAAACGAGGCAAAAATGCACTACCACGCATTTCAGCAGATTTTCTCATTGAACTTTTTTTTAACAGCGTAAAGCAGCGTTTTTGCTACAATAGAGTTCAATGAAAAAATCCGCTGAAATGCGTGGTAATACGTTTTTGTCGCGTTCTGCATTTACTTTTTTTAAAAAGCAAAAAAACAGCGTTTTTGCTACAATAAATGCAAAACGCGGCAAAAACGCACTACCACACATTTCAGCAGATCTTTTCATTGAACTTTATTGTAGCAAAAGCGCTGCTTTTTGCTTTTACAAAAAGTAAATGCAAAACGCGTCAAAAACGCACGACCATACATTTCAGCAGATTTTCCATTGACCTCTATTGTAGTAAAAACGCTGCTTTTTGCTTTTTAAAAAAAGTAAATGCAAAACGCGGCAAAAATGCACTACCACGTATTTCAGCTGATTTTTTCATTGAACTCTACTTTTTTTTTAAAAGCAAAAAGCAGCGTTTTTGCTACAATAGAGTTCAATGAAAAGATCTGCTAAAATGCGTGGTAGTGCGTTTTTGCCGCGTTTTGCATTTACTTTTTTTAAAAAGCAAAAAGCAGCATTTTTGCTACAATGCAAAACGCGGCAAAAATGCACTACCACGCATTTCAGCAGATCTTTTCATTGAACTCTATTGTAGCAAAAATGCTGCTATTTGCTTTAAAAAAAAAGTAAATGCAAAACGCAGCAAAATCGCACTGCCACACATTTCAGCAGATTTTCCATTGAAGTCTATTGTAGCCAAAACGCTGCTTTTTGCTTACAAAAAAAGTAACTGACCCTCTCCAAAATTGCAGAGGCTCAAAAAAGCCTAGATGTGGACATGTTCCACAGGAAACCATGTTACATGGACTGTAGTGCCTTTCTGCAAAAAGCACTAAAAAACACATTGGTGTGAATGGAGCCTTAAAGAGATTCCACCAGGGAAGCCTGGCGTTTCTTTTTTTTTTTTTTTTTTAAAGTAGGGTGGAAATTTGCTGGAGATATACAATCTGCCAATTCATGATTCAATTTATCAGCAGTCATACAAAACCAATAGAGCTGAATATTAAAAAAAAAAAACAACTCCACCTAATAAAACCTAATTTGTAATTATATTTAGTAATAAGTTAAACAAAGAAAGCACAAAACTCACAAAAGCAAAAAATAAAAATAGGACACTCATGAATAAAACACACATCTCTGGCTATAATCTCTAATTCCTAATCTTAACATATATTTTCACGTAAAAAAAAAAAAAAATTGAAAGCATTTTATTATTGTGGATGGATAGAAGCAGGATGAATCTCTTTGAGTGGATTAGGAATGGAAAAGACAATGCAAGAGGTAACATCAAAATGTTTTTTTTTTTTATTTTATCAGTAGCTGTTCCCTAAATAGTAACAGTATTACTGTTATTTGCTTTTTTTTCAATTTAAAAGGATATATTCAGGTCATATAAGGTTTACTTACTGCATGTCCTATTATTTCTTGTTATTCTATGATGTATTTTGAATTATATCACAAATAAGTTTTCACAGGTTTTTGCTCTTTAAAACATTGTCAACCGGCTGTCAATAATTGTGACAATCTTTGAACTGATAGCAAAAAAAAAAAAAAATTACATGAAAATACGATGAACCCATTTCATCTCAAAATTAGTTGATTTCATGAGCCAAAACACCAAATTTGTAAAAAATAACAATTTGCAAAAATTACATTTTTTTTTTGTTTGCATTTTGGATTAAATGTGAAAGGATTAGTATATATATATATATATATATATATATATAGAGAGAGAGAGAGAGAGAGATGTAGATATATTTTTTTTTCTCCACTATCTGGGTTCTGGGAAAATTCACCCTCTCTATTTGTTCTGGTATATCACAAATATGTTTTCACAGGTTTTTGCTCCTTAAAATATTGTCAACCGGCTGTCAATAATTGTGACAATCTTTGAGCTGATAGCAAAAGAAAAAAATTACATGAAAATACGATGAACCCATTTAATCTCAAAATTAGTTGATTTCATGAGCCAAAACATCAATTTGTAAAAAATAACAATTTGCAAAAATTAAAATGTTTATTTTTTTGTTTGCATTTTGGATTAAATGTGAAAGGATTAGTGTATATATATAATATATATATTTTTTTTTTTTTTTTTCCTCCACTATCTGCGTTCTGGGAAAATTAACCCCCTCTATTTGTTCTGTTATATCACAAATATTTTTTCACAGGTTTTTGCTCCTTAAAATATTGTCAACTGGCTATCAATAACTGTGACAATCTTTGAGCTGATAGTACAAAAAAAAATGACATGAAAATATGATGAACCCATTTCATCTCAAAATTAATTCATTTCATGATTTCATGAGCCAAAACACCAATTTGTAAAAAATAATTTGCAAAAATCAAAATGTTTCTTTTTTTTGTTTTCATTTTGGATTAAATGTGAAAGGATTACCACGTTATTTTTTTTTTTTCACTATCTGTGTTCTGGGAAAATTCACTCTCTCTATTTATTCTGTGATATCAGAAATATTTTTTCACAGGTTTTTGCTCTTTAAAACATTGTCAACTGGCTGTCAATAATTGTGACAATCTTTGAGCTGATAGCAAAAAAAAAAAAATTACATGAAAATACGATGAACCCATTTCATCTCAAAATTAGTTGATTTCATGAGCCAAAACACCAATTTGTAAAAAATAACAATTTGAAAAAATTAAAATGTTTCTTTTTTTGTTTGCATTTTGGATTAAATGTGAAAGGATAGATAGATAGATAGATAGATAGATAGATAGATAGATAGATTTTTTCTTCACTATCTACGTTGCCTTTTGGATTAAATGTGAAAGGATTAGCACATGTTATTTTTTCTTCACTATCTACGTTCTGGGAAAATTCTCCCTCTCTATTTATTCTGTTATATCACAAACATTTTTTCACAGGTTTTTGCTCCTTAAAATATTGTCAACTGGCTCTCAATAACTGTAACAATCTTTGAGCTGATAGCAAAAAAAAAAAATTACATGAAAATACGATGAACCCATTTCATCTCAAAATTAATTCATTTCATGAGCCAAAACACCAATTTGTAAAAAATAACAATTTGCAAAAATTAAAATGTTGCTTTTTTTTGTTTGCCTTTTGGATTAAATGTGAAAGGATTTGCACATACATTAGTTTTTTTTTTTTTTTTCGCTATCTGTGTTCTGGGAAACTTCACCCTCTCTATTTGTTCTGGTGACTGACTGTTTTCTTCTAAAATTGAGGAGAAATCTAAAATTTTGAGTTGTCACCGTTCAGGAATTAAGAGTAATTCTTCCAATGGAGACCGTTGTTCCAGTTGGCTGCACAGACAGCTATAACAATATCAATTATTTTTATCTATTCTCTACACTATCAAAAAATAATCTGTGAGCAGACAGAAAAAAAAAAACATTTAATCTCGAAATTCAAATAGATTTCATGAGCCAAAACACCAATTTGTAAAAAATTAAAATTAGCAAAAATTAAAATGTTGCTTTTTTTGTTTGCCTTTTGGATTAAATGTGAAAGGATTTACACATATATAAAAAAATTTTCACTGTGTTCTGGGAAACGTCATCCTCTCTATTTGTTCTGGTGATGGTTTTCTTCTAAAATTGAGGAGAAAGCTAAAATTTTGAGTTGTCACCATTCAGGAATTAAGAGGAATTCTTCCAATGGAGATGGTTGTTCCAGTTGGCTGCACAGACAGCCATAACAATGTCAATTATTTTATCTATTCTCTACACTATCAAATAAATAATCTGTGAGCAGACAGAAAAAAAAACCCTAAATCAATTAATCTCTAAATTCAGATAGATTTCATGAGTCAAAACACCAATTTGTAAAAAATAAAAATTAGCAAAAATTTAAATGTTGCTTTTTTTTGTTTGCCTTTTGGATTAAATGTGAAAGGATCTGCAGATATATTAGGTTTTTTTTTCACCATCTGTGTTCTGGGAAACTTCACCCTCTCTATTTATTCTGGTGACTGTTTCAAATAGTTATCATAAGCCAAAACACCAATTTGTAAAAAATATCAATTTCCAATAGTTAAAATGTATCTAATTTATTTATTCGTTTTGATTAAATATGGAAGGATTAGCATATGTTAGGTGTTTTGGTGCACTTGGGAAGTTCATTCTCTCTATTTGTTCTGCTGACGAAAAATAAAATGGATAGAAAATCTAAAATTTTGAGTTTCCGGTCAGGAATTTAGAGGAAATCTTGTTCCAGGTACAGGATCTGAAACAAGATTTTCCATCACTTTGAAGAGATTTCCTCTCACCTCTTGTTGTGTCTCTGGAGACAGGATGCACAGACAGAGAAAAAAGTCGAATTTTTTATCTATTCTCTACTTTTTTTTTAAATAGAGTAGAGAATAGATAAAATAATCAACTTTTTTCGCTGTCTGTGCATCCTGTCTTCAGACACAACAAGAGGTAAAAAAAGGAAATCTCTTCAAAGTGATGGAAGATCTTCTTTAAGATATTGTACCTGGAACAAGGAAGGATTCCTCTAAATTCTTGCCCGGAAACTCAAAATGTTAGATTTTCTATCCATTTTATTTTTCGTCAACAGAACAAATAGAGAGAAAGAACTTCCTGAGTGCACCAAAACGCCTAACGTATGCCAATCCTTCCATATTGAATAAAAACAAATAAATATATTAGATACGTTTTAACTGTTGAAAATTTTTATTTTTACAAATTGGTGTTTTGGCTCATGAAATCTATTTGAATTGAGATTAAATGTTTTTTTTTTTTTTTTTAAATAAGTAGCTTGTGCTT